TAACCTGACTGACTGGGATCCAATACAATACAATACACGCTTCAGTACTTTATAAACAGTTGCTTCAAGGCACAAAGAGCTTTACATGAGGGATCCACTCACACGTTCACACACTCACATGTACACCAGTGTGAATCTTTTCCAACTGAGCCACTGTGGCCCATAAAGATCTGAGTCTGGTCTCTGGTGAATCTGCCCTTTTTCAGATGGGCATGATTGACAGGTCCCTGAGTGCCACTTTAAAAGAACTAAAGCTTTAATTATAGAAGAATGTAGTGCTGTAGTCAAGACCGCACTAAGACCAAGACCACGGCCCACAAGACCAAATCAAGACCATCTTTGACATTTCCTACATTTATTTGTATTTTACATTTATTTTGGCACATTTATATGAATGTTTTTATAAATCTCCATTTTATCATATTAATGTTCATTTAGGCCTAAAATAGGCTGAGCAAACTGACCAACCTTTTTTAATCTGACTTCCACTGGCACTTTACAGAAAACAACTTCAAAGTTTATCAAGTGAGTTTTTTCAAGCTCACAACATTTACAGTGACATTATCTCTTGGTTTTGCAGTGCCTGCTCATTTACCGGTTGTAATGAAATATAATCACACTCTTCGCCTGTCAGACCTCGAGTCCGAGACAAGACGAAGACCAAGCACCATCAAGACCGAGACAAGACAGAGTCCAAATGCACTCAAGTCCAAGACGAGACCATAGAAAGAGGTCTCGAGGCCGGTCTCGAGTGCTAGAACTCTAGAAGAATGTCAAAGAATATTTGATACTCGGTTTATTAAATGGTCTTTTAAAAGTGTTTGTTGATGTATTCATAAAGAAAAATCCCACACACTCTCTTACTTGCAAATCGTGAAATTTATTAGGACATAAACAACATTTCGGCGCTCAGCCTTCATCAGGCTTTTTGTCTGTAAGTACGACAGTGTCTGGGATTTTTTCTCTGTGTTCTTGGGCTGCTCCCTCTCTCCTCCCACACGCCCGTTTCAAGAAATTGATGTGCAAAGTTCTCATTCATTTATATCGTTGATTTATTCATCAAATATTCTTTTAAAGGCGCTTTTAATTAAAGCTTTACTTCATTTAATGTGGCACTAAAGGTGTAACCAGACTATAAAGCTCAGAGCAGAGGAACGAAACAAAGTAAAACCGATAAAGTTCTGTACTTAAGTATCTGTACTTTACTGAAGGAAAGAAGGAAGAAAGACAGATAGAAAGACATATAGATAAAGATAGATAGATACCGTAAATTGTGGACTATAAGCCGCTACTTTTTTCTCACACTTTGAACTCAGCGGCTAATAAAACGATACAGCGAATATATGGACAGATTTTTTGTTTGTCACGTTGTCCTTTCATATAAACGGTCTATGGTTTGACAACACAGTGGATACATGCAGCCTGAGTGCAGAAAACATCGCTGTTTGTGCGGTCACACATGGATCTAGAGTTCACATGAAGTCGCTACACGAGCTCGCGATATTATCAGTGCACTCAAATAGTTTATGGCCATGTGATAAAATAAGTTATGATGTTAAATGAACATTAATGAGGAGGATACGTCTTACCCATGTGTGTAAATGACGAGAAGAAAGTGGCCGGACATCCACTCATACCTAGTGATGGGCGAATGGAGCCTCCTGAAGCATTGACACCTCAGTCGCAATATTGTCTCAAATGGTTCGACGTGTCTGAGGCCTCGGAGAAACACTGACCTCTAGTGGACAAATTTAACCATTGGCATGCAGGTGTCTCAGCATCGATGAAGTATTGTTAGTGCAGAGCATACACCGTACCTAACAACAACAATAATAATGATGATTTAAAATAATATGTAAAGAGCAACATAAATAACATGCTGTAAATAAGAAAATAGGTGTTACCTTGTTAGGTGGAATTAGATCAAAGTGATTCCAAACCATGGATCACTTTTTTCCACTTGTAGATGCCATCGAAAATGAAACAAATGCCAAAAGTCGCCAAAAGTCACCAAAATTACCACTAACATCACACAATACGCCTCACTACCCAACATTTTTAAGAAATATTGGTGCATCTTTTATACTGTAGCAGTTTAGCGCTTGTCAAACCACAGAAGTGCGCTGAACACTCTGAAGCACTCTGAACCAATCGCAAAGCGGAACATTCACTGAGCCAATGAAACGCTTCGATACACTGAAGCGATTGACACGCAGAGTGAAGCAGTCGGGGGAGGGGCCGACACTTCCACACTTTGGTCACGTGAGCGGCTGCTGCGAGACGAGCTCCGAGGCAGTGCTTCGGAGCAATTTGTTTCAGAAAGAAGGAGACGTGCTCCGGAGCTCATATCTGATCCATACACCTATCCCCGCCCCCGAGAATCTGAAATCTGCAGAAATCCTCCAAGACACTGACATGATACAGACAGGACAAAGACTCTTTCTGCAGGAGACATGCACAGTAGAGAAACGTGATGATGTGCCGAGGAAGATTGCTTATTTGATTGTGTTTTGAACAGTCATTTTGCGCTTCATACACAAACCCTCCACATGGAAAACACACGAAGAAACGCAGACAATGCAGCTTTTAACTTAAAGACGATTGATGTGGCTGTCGAAGAAAGAAACAGAGCTGCTGCACGTGAGCTTGACATCAGTGAGCCGACGGTGAGACGTTGGCGACGGCAGCGTGACAAACTGACTCAACGCAAAAAGACAACAAAAACTTTCAGGAGATAAAAGCAGACGGCCCCAAACTTAATAACGTTCTTGAAGATGTGAACACCTGCGGCTTATATTCAGGTGCGACCTACATATGTAAAATTTTTAAATTTTATTAAAATTTAGTTGATGTGGCTTATGTTCAGGTGCGGCCTATATATGTACAATTTTAAAATTTTGTTAAAATTTAGTTGATGCGGGGTATATTCAGGTGCACTTAATAGTCCAGATTTTACGGTAGATTCTTCAGCAGCAATGATGAAACATAATAATAATAGGTCACAGCAGTAATTCATCATTTATAACGGTGCATGGTAGAGACGTATGAATACTTTTTACGTTTACTTCACTACATCTGAGAGCAGGTAACTTTCTACTCCACTACATTTTTAACTGGACTGAAAAGTAAAAGTTTCCAAACCTTTTCCAAAATGGCTGCACACTGGAAAACCTCAAATGACCTCTTACCAAATCTCTCCTTCCTCCTTCCTCCTTCCTGATGAACTCCAGTCATTAAATGAATAATGTACAATTACAATAGAGCTTTGTTTTCATTGTAATCCTCTAGTTCAGTCTGAGCCGATCATAATCACACACATGGGTTTTGTTTGTTTCTTGTCTTGGATTCTATGAGGACAAATGTCAAACAGCGGTTCATATCTGTTACTGTTATATAAGTTTACAGAAGTTAAATATTTTTAGCTCTAGGTTTAAAACTAGGGATGTAACAATAACCGAAATATTGTGATATCGTATCGTCAAAGTTCTCAAAATAATATCGTGGACCATCACAATATATCGAATTACAAGTCTTTTTGGTTAAATTAAGAGTTATGGTGCTAAAAAAAAGACAGAGGAAACTACATAGACCATGATCCTTTGCTCCATTTCAATGTAGACTACATGAAGAAATAACAGTTTTAAGCACTTTTCAGTCTTATTTCTTTGGATTAAATCTTGTGAAGGCATTTTAAGAGGAAAAAGTTGCATATTAACAGATTTAGCTGTTTAGCCTCCACAAAATATCACAATAAATATCATACCGTGAGATGTATATTGTGAAAATATCGTACAGAGAGATTTGGATATTGTTACATCCCTAATCATGAGTCTCCCCACCATATCGTGAGCTATATCGTAATATCGTATCGTGAGACTTGGACATCATTACATCATTTAAAACAGGTCAGTGTGATAAAGTTTCCTTATCACAAACATCATAAACAAACAGATCTCTACTGAACTAAAGGTGAAAGGAGCTGTTAACTTGAAACTACCGCTTCATAACATTCATCACAAGGTGGAGCAGAGCATTTTGAGCTTTGGAGATGTAGATGTCCTCTCCAGGTGGGTGGAGAGTCCCGCCTCAAGTGGAGGAGTTCAAGTATCTCTGGGTTTTGGTCACGAGTGAGGGGAGGATCGAGCGTGAGATTGACAGGCGGATCGGACCGTTGTGGTGAAGAGGGAGCTGAGCCGAAAGGCAAAGCTCTCGATTTACCGTCATTCTTCATTCCTACTCTCACCTATGGTCATGAGCTATGGGTAATGACAGAAAGGACGAGATCGCAGATACAAGCGGCCGAAATGAGTTTCCTCTGCAGGGTGTCTGGGCGCTCCCTTAGAGTTAGGGTGAGGAGCTCAACCGCACAGGAGGAGCTCGGAGTAGAGCCGCTGCTCCTTCACATCAAGGGGAACAGCTGAGTCTCGGGCATCTGTTCTGGATGCCTCCTGGGTGCCTCTCTCGGGAGATTTTCCGGGCATGTCCCACCCTGAAGAGACCTCAGAGAAGACCCAGGACACGATGGAGGGACTGTGTCTCTGGGCTGGCCTGGGAACAGCTGGGACCCCTGGAAGACCTGGAGGAAGTGTGCGTGGAAAGGGAAGTCTGGGAGTCCCTGCTCAGACCTCTGCCTCCGCAACCGGACCTATAAAGTCCACATTTTGCTACCAAACTTTGGTGAGGTTTATAATTTTACATCCTGGTTGGAAAAAGACGAGAGCAGCTGTGACATTCAAAGAGATGATTCTGTTATAATAACTGTTATCAGGCAACCATGTTAATAGGGGTCAAAACCAAAAGCCCAAATCACACAAAAATAAATGACAACACCTTTATTTTGTTCAATGACACTTTTTTTTCTCCTTTTCTTCTATAAATGGTTTGGTTTATTCGGCAATTCTTCATATTTGTTGAAATATTATTGAAATATCTTAAAATACAACAAACATTTGGATTACACATTGGGAAAAAAGTTCTCTCCAAATATGTGATTAAACTCAAGCAAAGGGACAGAACCTGAGTTTGTGTGTGTGCTGGCGTCATCTAGTGGTGAAACACTGAACTGCAACTAATAATATAGAGAACGATCTACAGAAGCTGTTTAAAGGGCAAATATTTAGTTATTTTCTGATCTGTTATGTTGTTTACTCATCAAAAACAAACCAGGTAAACCATGTGATGTCATTTGATAATACAGGAAGTGCTCCAATGTGTTTTTAAACTAGAGTCATTCACATAATCTCAGGACTGGAATTGCCAATTTTCTAAAATATCACAATTTCAAGTGCCTCGATTTACTAATTAAAGGTGCTTTGTGTAACTTTTAGTGGTTGTCAGTCACTTATTTGCCTCTCTGCACATGTTATCACTTTGCCGAAAATGATCTGCACTATGGCATTAAACAGCAAAACCAAACAAAAGTTTGGTAGTTGAGTAAATGCAAGATATATACGCTCAATGTCATGCTGTGGACAATTCCAGCCAAATCAATAGCAACTTTAACTAATAAATAATCGTGTTACATAAAAATATGTCAGCAGCCATTTTCTTTTTGAATCTTTATGTCAAAAAGTACAAAAATCATATTTACAAACACAAATATGATAGAAAACTACTTATTAAAACCATTCAATATGAACGATCTCTCACTGCTCCACACCTGTTCAGGAGGTGACCATGGCGACATGGGAGCTCCCTGTCACCATGGCGACAGATGCTGTTGGTGCGGCGGAGTCGGAGGTGATGGCAGGGGCGGCAGGAGCGGCGGGTGGGGCAGGGACGGCAGGTAGGGCAGGTGGAGCGGGTGGGGCGGGTTTGACGATCCTCAGAGGCACAAAGAGGTTGGAGGCGCAGTGTTCACTCAGATACTCGCCGCCCTTCTCCTCGTAGTCCTGCCTGCTGATCCAGCCCTCGCCACCGGGGGCAGGAGGGTGCTGCAGGGCCCAGTCCCTCGCCCCGTACCAGGCATCCAGAGAGGGACGCGACGCCATGCTCACCTGGAACAGAACAGTAAAGAAATAATACCAAAGCTCAAAACACAAACACAGAAACACAGAACGCTGCTAAAGACCCAGGCCTTACATTTGACTTTTTACAGTTTTTGTTTGTTTGGAAGCTTTTACATTGTTTTTTCACAAATAATTTTAAAATGGACTGTGTTTAGTTCAGTGTTTAGGAGATGTTATTTCCTTGTCTGTTCTAGACAAGGAAATAACATCTCCAATAGGGATGGGCATTCAAAGAAATTATATTAATGGATCGTCGGGAGAATTAACAATCAATTTTCAATTAATCATTAACGTTTTTATATAAGTAACATCATTATCATTACTATTACTAATCTGCATAAATAAACAAAATTTTACGACGTATAAACCATAACCACTCTAGAGCCACATCAGCCCGTTTGAGATTAGAATGTATTTAATGGCTTTGAGGAAGTCTTAAAGAAACAAAACTAAAAACCGCATGACTAATTTGCATAAATTAAGAGGAGAAAAAAACACTCTTGCGCTGATGTGGTTCAGCATTAAAGGACATGACTCAGTGGAATATGAGTGTTCTCTCTGTGACAGAGGGATGTTGATGCTGAAGGTGAGTCTGTTCTGTGTTCGATGTTTTCAAAGATCGCACGTGTGCAGGTTTATCGCAGCTCTTTATGTTGCAGTAACCGGGATACTGTGTTTACATGCACCATGACGAAACCGGGATACAGATGTACATCTAAACGCTCTCACTGAATGGTACAGTGATCTCCAAGGAGGTGCCAGAGCCCAAACGTGGGACTGAGGCCGCAACTCCAGTATTTGCGCTGTCAGACGCAGCTTCGTTTCTAAGCACAGAAACCTACATTTGGTTTGTCGATTAGAAATGAAGGTAATTGATGAAATTTTTAATGATCAATTATCGATTAGTCGACTAATCATGACCATCCCTAATCTCCATGAAGACAAGCAGATGGCGGACACCTTTAAAACCTTATTAAAGACGGTCACTGGTCAGTACCTTGAAGTGAGACTGGAAGGGTCTCATGGCGAGCAGTTCCCTCTCCACTCTCTGCTTCATCCCCGGGTACAGCATGTTTCCTCCTGTCAGGAACACGTTACTCACTAGCGCCTCCTGCTGCTCCCGACTGTACCTGCACCCACAATAGAAAAGTTGTTTTAGTGGTTGGTAGAGCAGGTTATCTTTAAAAGGTAGTATATTATACCAAATGGATTCTTGTGAGCTTTAAGCCATGTTAGAAAGTTGTTACCTAAAGGGCCTCTGCTTGTACAAGTCTCTCCATGGTCGAACACCAAAGTCAATCTGTGACATGTTAGTGTCATATGAACCATGTGGCACTTTGAGGAGCTCAGGGACTGACATCCTGCTGGTGCCCAGAGTCACGACTAAACACACCCGTATTTCAGTTTTATGCAGCTAAAACCTGGAACAGTCTGAAAATGTGAGACAGGACTATACTTTGACTCTGTTTAAATCCAGGCTCTAAACTGTTCTGTTTAGCTGTGTATGTAAGGTTTTCATTCTGCACTTTTCTCTCTCATTTAATGTCTCTCTCTTTTTTAATTTTATGATGATTAGTTATGTTTTTATTTGTTTGTACAGTGAAGGTTAGAGTTATGTATTTATTTATCTGCCAGTGACCGCAATTGACAGCCAGAGCACGATTGAAGCTCTGCAGGACTGTCTCAGGGATGTACAGACTTGGCTGAGCACAAACTTCCTAAATCTAAATCATAAAAAAATGAGAAAAGTAAAGCCCTACCTCCCACGGGCAGAGTTCGAAAAAGCAATCCATGCTTTCATAACATCACGCCTGGACTATTGCAATTCTTTCTATGTAGGGTTAGACCAGGGCTCCCTGCAGCGCTTACAACACATCCAGAACGCTGCAGCTCATCTGCTCACAAATACTAAGAAACGTGAACACATCACACCTGTTCTGTGTGACCTGCACTGGCTCCTGTCTTATATCAGGTGCAATTTAAAATGTTATTAATTGTTTTCAAATGTTTGCACTCCACGGGTCCAGTCTATTTAACGGAGCCCTACAGCCCTGCAGCCCTACACTCCGCCCAGACCCTGAGATCAGAACAGCTCCTGTTGATCGTACCCAAAACTAATCTCAAGATGAGAGGTCACAGAGCTTTTTCTGTGGCAGCGACAAGGCTGTGGAACAACCTTCCTCTTAATGTCAGACCTTCACAGTCTGTAACACAGTTTAAGACGAGACTGAGAACTCACCTCTTCTCCCTGGTGCTTAGTACGAGCTAGTCAGGTTCTCTTGGTGTCTTTTTTATTGTAGTTTTCACATGTTTTCTGTATATATGTATTTGTAACTGTTTCTTCTATTTTGTTGACATGTATGTGAAACACTTTGGTCAGATGAAGTTGTTTTAAATGTGCTATATAAATAAACTTGAATTGAATTGAATGTATTTCTTATTCTGGAAAGCACTTTGAATTTGAATTACTTTGTGTATGAATTGAGTGATACAAATAAACTTGCCTTGCCTCCTTCAAAACATATATGAAGTTGTGTGTTGTTTTTTTGCATTCACACATTTGAGTAACCCTTTATTATTAGTCTGCCTACAAATCAAAATACTAAATATGCAGGGTTTGTGTGTTAAACATGTGAATGAAACAAAACACAACTCCAGGTCTGTTTATGACGAAGAAACGACATTAGAACAGATCAGAAAACAGAGTAATATGGGCCCTTAAATATAATAAAATGTAAAAGACCTGTCCAGAACGTATTGCAGAGTCTCCATCAGCCCCATCTGGTCCTCTCCGGTGAGGGAGGGCTGGAACAGGATCTCAGGGCAACGCAGACGCTCCGTGCCCACAAAAAGCTGGTGATACTCGGCCAGGTTGAACACAGGCTGAAGAAAACAACAAATGTGAACAACAATCAAATTTTATTCATTTCATACTTAAAGTTTGCTACAATTAAAGTGCAAAATGTTCTGCTCAGTGCCCTTGAATGATGCTTCTTTGTCTCTTTGTCACCCTGATGCTGTGAATCCTGCTGTAACATCATTAAAAGTAGAACAGTAGAACGATCTCTGTGCTTATTTTTGCAAAGATAAAACAAAAATCGACACAAGTATTAAAGCTCCTATGACAGATTGAACAACACATTTCACCAAAACACAGTTAACGTCATTATATTTAAGATTCTACAACAGATTTAACTTTTTGTTTCCCAATCTGGCTATTTTTTAAAGTTGAAAATTTTACTTTCTGTTGGGAAATCAAGACATTACACCAGGGAATTCTACAACCTTAATAATTTACTGCTCTATACTACACAGAAATGATAATTTGATTAATAAAAACACAACAAAACACCTTTATTTTGTTGCAATAATGATTAAAATAACAGAAGAAATTCTTGATTCTTGGGGGTAAATATAGAATTCTCCCCAGTGTGCTGTCATCAATATGTTTAGAAGTCTCTACGTCCTGTAATTTTCCACAACTTTTCTTCTCAAATTGCAAATTGATTTGTTTAAAACTATAATTTATATTTACAATATAATTAACAATAAATTAACAATACAATAGGTATTTTTAACCCTCTAGTTTTTGCTGTGCACCTTGTGATGTCGTGAAGCTGTGATTTTCAACACCTAACTTTTATCTTTTGATAATTCCAGGGTTGAAAATTATCCAAATGATTCTAGTGAAGGCATGTGGCGTTTAAAAACATGACATCACAAGGTGGAATAGAGTGTTTTCTGCTTGGGAGAAGATCTCAGCCTAAATCTGCAGGTGTGTTTGTGTGTTTAAACATGTGCGAATGAAACAAAACCCAACTCCAGGTCTGTTTGCAACAAGGAAACAGATCAGAACATGAGTTAAATAAAAGTATGTGGGTGTTCCTATGCTCATACCTGGACTACATTAGTCGGTTTCTCTGGCAGCGTCTCCTCTGGGAAGTCAGGATCCATCAGCCCCACCGCGTCTGCCTCGTCTAAGGGCTGCTCCAGCTCCGAAACCTGGGGACGAGAGCCGGAGGATGCCCCCGGGCGCACTGTCAGCCAGAGCTCACTGGTACCACACACCCACACCACATGCCCACGTAATGAGCAACTGGAATCTGAATATAAGCTTAAAGATGAAGTCCGGTGGGATCTTTGACTCGAGATTTTCCAGTAGGTAATTCTCTGGACAATCTCGTTAGTGTCAAAAAACGGAAGATTTGCATACGACAAAGAGGCCTCATGTGAAATTTGGTGATGTTTATTTTTACTTTTAATATAACTGCATGGTCCAATATTACAGAAAATTTACTGTTGTGAGCTTTATTAAAGGTGCATTGTGGAACTTTTCTGGAGGAGGATTCGTTAAATGCTTGGAGATGTTATTGTTTTGTCTGGAAAATTTCACAGCATTGCATTAAACCAGAGCAAGAGGAAACCCTGCTCAGTCAGAATTCCTGTTTTTCAAGGTATTTTTTCAGGTTTTACAGCTGTGAGTGTTCATATTTTTTTTAAATTAAAACTGTTTTTACTTTTTTTTTTTTATTTAAATTAAAATTTTTAAATTATTATTATTATTTCACATGCTTTAAATTAAATTATTATTTTACTTAGTCATCATCTAATTTTAGCTCTTCATTATTTTTATTTATTTATTTATTTTTATACTATAACCTTTAGGAGCTTTATGTTTCTAAATTGTTGCATATATGGAAGAAACAATGGGGTGGAGCAGAGCAAGTCGTGACTTGGTCAATATTTTTACAACATGAGGACTTGATAAAATGGACTAAGACTTGGGACTTGACTAGGACTTCAGGCCTGTGACTTGAGAAGACTTGATGCCTTTCCTAAAAAACATGTTTTTAGAAAATACTTTTCTCTTTATAGTCGACACGTGCGGTGCTGAATTTTACGAGACCAAACTGGAACATGTCCCTCACACTTCTGTTTGTTACTTTGGATGTAACTGAAGTACTGTGATATGGTATCCTCAAATGTACTACAGTAATACACAGTACAATACAGTAAAACAAAGAGAACTACATAGAACGTGATCCTTCATAACGATTGAATCACAATAAAATCTAAACAAGACATTTAAAAAAGAAAAAAACTGCATTTCTACAACTCTTATTTAAATACTCATACATAAATATACCATAACCAAGTACAAGTTTGTTTAAAATTCATATAAATTGCAAAAATCTAAGCTATATTTGTTTTTTTTTTGGTTTGGTTCTTTTTTGGTTTAAAGCCTTGAAATGACTTGAAGCTCAAAGCAGATAACTTGGACTTGACTTGGACTTATGGGCCAGTGACTCAAGACTCGACTTAGACTTGCCTGTATTTGACTTGGGACTTGACTCGGACTTGAGGTCAAAGACTTGAGACTTACTTGAGACTTGCAAAACTTGGTCCCACCTCTGGATTAGGGTTGCTGTTGTTTTTAATCACTGTATTTTTTTTTCTACTTTGTGCTATACAAATAAAGTTTGACTGACTGATTGATTGTTTTCTGAGCTATTAAAACACCTGTAGTTGAATAAATGTAAGGTAGAGCTGCTTAATGTCATACTGCAGAACAATGACATATGCATAGAAACAAGCAGGTGACAAAGCCCCAACCAAAAAGTTACACAGTGCACCTTTAAGTATCTGTCAATATCTCATATTCACCAGTATCCGTCTAGGAACAGAAAATGGTATCACTTCCTTAAAACACATTTAACTTATTAAACAAGAGATCCAAATGTGTTATATAACTGTTATTTATCCTTCACATCACTAATAAACCCCTTCATGTGAATAAAAGCACAAAAATATGAGACGTTTTAGGCTAAAATCTGTCTGTAAATAAATTTCTTACATCTATTTTAAGGCCCACTCAGGATATCTGCTGAATCGATATCAGGAAACCGATATCAGAGACAGATCATTTTTCAGTATTGGCGCCAATATTTGATTCCAGAATTGTTATCAGAGCATTTCTATAATTATGCAGTGATAGCGATGAGCAGATGGGTTAAGTAAACGATTGGAAATGTGCTAAAATATGCCTGTAAGTGTCTAAGAATGAAATATGACACCAAAAGTGATTGATGTGACTGTTAAACTTGTGTGTGAAAAATTACGCTGTATGTTTAATTTCTTTTATCACTCTCAGCACCTTTTAGTCATTTCAGTTTTGACAGTTCAGTGGCGTCTTGTGGAGAATACATCAACGCCTTTAACGCACAGAACAAAGTTTTAAAATTTCAAAGAATGAGCAGAATCTCTTATTCATGAAATTATAAACGTTTAACCTTCTGTTACATCGGTATAGGATGTATATATAAATTTATCTGTAACTGCACAATAACACTGTTTTGCAAGTGAAAAAGTCAGGAGTAATCCCCAATTTCACAATGTCACAATTTTTTAAAACACAAATTAAATAAAAAAAAATGCATTTGATTAATTTCCAGCCCTCACAAGACCTGTAATTTAATTTACAATCTGTTTATATTTTTGTAATAGTTATGTTATTAAATCATTCATGACAGAAAATTTTTTGGTTATATATTAGTTGTCAGTTATTGTGAGCTTTGTACACTCACACTGTTTTGTATTAAAACAATCATTACTATTATTATTATTATTATTATCATTGTCATTTTCAATTATCAATTATGTTGCTCTTTGTTATTATATTATATTGTGATGTCTGAGCGACGGTGTCTAAGTTTTTTTTTATCAATAAAGTTTATCTATGTCTAAAGGCCGCCACACTCTACAGTACAGTAGAATTTGCACGATTTTGGCTGCGATTTGTTTCTCCCCGAGTTTGAGGAGGCATGACACGACTTTGTGTCCTCGTGTGTGATTTTCTCCCCGTGTCTGTAGTGTGCGCTTTTTGTTGCACATTCAAAAATCATTTAAGACCAAAAATCCTGTAGTGTGTGGCGGCCTTTAGTCTAATCAGAACACTGAAACGTGAGATTGTACCACCGCACATTATCTGTACAGCAGACTGGTCTCTCTGTACCCACCTCAGTCCTCCCTTCGCTGGGTTCAGTCTGCAGCCTAAGCCTCCCCTGCTCCACACACAGCTGGAGCTTGTGGATGTAGGACTGGAGCTCCTGAGCTGAGTCCATGTTCAGCTCCACCAGACTCTTATGGAACTGCTCCACCAGGCCGTCCTCCAGCAGCTCCTGAACACAAACACACAGACACACACACACACAGGTTCATAGTAACACAAAGTAGTTTACTGTGTGCTCACCAGTGGAGGTAGTATGGTATTAAACCTTTCTATCTTCATGGAAACCAAACCAGACCAAGTTACAGGTCAGATCTGTGGAGAGGCGACCCCCCCTCACAGTCAGAATGTCTGTTTTTCAAGGTAGTTTTGAGCTATAAAACCACCTGTAATAGAATAATTATATAGTATAGCACAACATTCACGGCAGAGCAATGACATATCCACAGAAACAAGCAGGTGATGGACCCGAAACCAAAAGGTACATAGTGCACCTTTAAGTAAAAGTACAGATACAAAGGTAAAAGGTTACTCAAGTAGAAGTATCACATGAAAAAAATCTACTTAAGTAACAGTATTTAAGTACCCGTTTAAACTATGTATGTTAGAAAATGTAAAACGTTAAAGGGACAGTTCGGAATTTTGGATGCAGGGCCTCATTTCCTAGTGAGCCAGAGTGTTGGAAACGTGTGGAGACACTTTTTAAATATTCCATCCTGTCCTTGTATTTGCAGAGGTCGCTGGTGCTAGACTAGTGCATGTCAATGGCCATAGTTATCCTGCCACTAAAAACAGTCTTACTCACTCCACAAAACAGACTGTCGATGCGAATGTCTGTGTTGATAGAATAATTTTAAAAGTAAAACCAACCTTGCCCTCAACGTGCAACTATTCATGCGATGCAAGGTTAGTTTTATTTCAAACATTATTCTATCAACACAGACATTCACATCGACAGTCTGGCGTAATAATAGATTTTCTTCGGGTGTTTGGTTGAGTGGGTAAGACTGTTTTTAGTGGTAGGATAACTATGGCCATTGACATGCACTAGTCTAACACCAGCGACCTCTGCAAATACAAGGACTGGATGGAATATTTTAAAACGTGTCTCCACATGTCTTCCACACTCTGGCTCACTTGGAAATGAGGTCCTATGTCCAAAATTCTGGACTGTCCCTTTAAAGAAATGTCTGTAACATATTAAACAACACAATATTGTCCAATGTTACAGGTATGAAGTGTTTACATTGTTCTGGGGTGGTTTTCTACTCAGATTCACTCATTGTAGTTATTGGCCTTGTTGTATTACTCGTAAATAAACGGATACACACTGTACTGCTGCAAGAGAGACCGGTACCAGGACTAAACCATGATCAGGACTAGACTCTGAAGTAGGTTTACAAGAGAAAAATACCAGTTCCAGGGTATTACTTCAAGTCAGAGGAGGGAAGTGCTCCAGTTACCAGTCAATAAAAGTAGTTCAAATAGCACAAAATAAAATAAAAAGTGAAATGTCTGACAGTTAGGACGCACCTGCACAGCTAAGAGTCTGTCCAGTCTCTCCTGGTCCTGCTGGAGCCTCTCCTCTCTGCGTCTGGCGTTGATCTCCTGGAGGCGTCTCATCTGCTGGGCCTTCCGCTCCTGTCTCTCCTCCACGCTCACCAAACCCCCAGGGCCTTTAGCTGAGAACGGCAGCTGTATCCGGTGAACCTCGCGCTCGTAGAACTCCGGGCTGCGCCATTTCTCCAGCTCTGAGGACAATTCAACGTAAGATATGATAAAATAACCGTGCAAAGAATAAAAGTGTATGGTAAATTATAACTTTTATCCACATTTTGATGGTTTATTTTTTATTCAATGTCAAGGTCTCCTAAAGTAGCACAGTTTACATATTTTATTAGTTATTGGTAAAATTAAACGTATCATTGAAGGACTGAGATAATGATACCTACATGAGTACCATATTTTTCGGACTATAAGTTAGACTTTTTTTCATGGTTTGGGTGTTTCCTGTGACTTATATATTAAAATTTTCACAGTGAAGCGTCAAGAGAGTGAGATGAAGAGTTTGGGAAACTTGTTCTGTTCTGTTGCTTATGAATAATTGTTCATATGTGATGTTAACAGTCTGTTGTTTTCTGTTCTATTGTTGTTACTAGAAGTTGACTTTCAAGATGAAATGTCAGTTCCCCGTCTCTGATTTTATAAAATAAATTTCAACCAAAAAGTGTGACTTATATATGTTTTTTTCTTCATTACACATTTTTTGGCTGGTGCAACAATACTCCAGAGCGACTTATAGTCCAGAAAATACGGTAAATAAAATCACATACAATATCATTAATAAAACATAATGTGTGTGATATAATGATGACTAATCCAATCAGCAAGTGTAAGAAGAATGTATTTTTTTTGTTCTTTGTCTTTAATTACTGTACAGTCTTTTCACTTTATTTACTGATGTGTAACATTAAAGGCGCTGTGTTACCCTGGTGATAGTCGACTGCAGTGTAGCTGTGCTGGTGCAGTAGCTCCTCCATGCGGCTCAGGGTGATCGCTGCCACGTGTCCGGGATATTTGAGCTGTAGGAGGCGCTGCAGGTACGACGCAGCCTGGCTGCCTGCTACATTCACACGTTTACAGTTCACCGCATCCACCCTGACACACAGAACAACAGAGAACAGAGAACAGAGGTGCTGTTAGTTTTAAAGTAACTGTCATAACATTTACAGTGTGAGTGTTGAATACATTTAAGGCTTGTGTGCTCCAAAAATATTTTTTTCACTTAACCCTTATCTCTCCCCTCTTCTTGTCAATAAGTTGCATATGACTCAAAACATTCACACCCGGGGTCATAATACACACTCTGATTTCTCTGATCTGGCCAAGATTTTAAAACTTATAACTGGTTATTCGTCTTGTTTTCAGATTTATTATCTACTTACTAGTTCTGAGATGCTCAATTCTTGTCTATAGGTCGTTTATTTTGAGAGAACTTGTCAAGTAAAATTATCTTAATGCATGGAGAGATAATTTCACTACTATTAAGTCATTTTCTGATCGATTTAAGTGTTTATATCTTAAATTTTGGCCGAGCTTTTTCGCAATACACAGTCAATGGACCAGTTACTAATATTAGGCCATTTTAGACTGTGGAAAAACAAGTATTATTATATAAAATATGAATCAAAAGCAGGTTACTAAAGACTGATACAGACTTTTCCACAGCCTGAGATCGTTTATCTTCACTAGTTTTGTGGAGTTTTGCTAAAGCCGCTGCCGTCAGCTGAGCAGGAAATATAACAGCACAAATAAAAACTGTCACAGCACAAACAAAATACAAACATTTCATATAGTTTCCTTCCTGTTTTGAGGCTGTTTAACATTCTGAGGGGTTGAATGACGTCATCGGCCGAAAACAAAACCGCTAATATCTTAAGAAAGAACCATAATCACACAAACAAAATTTTATGCAGCACAAAACAGCACCAACGAAGCACAAACAATCAACACCATTTTGGGTGTTTTAGAGCATTTTGAAGCTTCTTGGGGGCTGGCTGACTCTAATTTGACCTATAAAGGAATCATTAATATCTTCAAAACTAAAGCAGCACAAACAAAACTTTTTGCAGCACAAACGAAGCACAAACAATTGACATAGTTTTTGTGTAGGTTTGCGTTTGATGGGGGGTCAATTTCACACAGGTCTACAGAGTCCTTTGTGGTTCTGACCTGCCGTTGATGACAGGCAGGACGTGGGAGCAGCTGTAGCCAGAGGAGAGCACGATGCCGGTGTGGGGAGGGGCCGTGCTCTGCTGCAGGTTGTGGTGGTAGAAGCTGTAAAGACTGTCGATGCCGTAGGACACAAAGGGCACTCGGTAACACTCGAACAGCAGCTCCGACATCATCTGCCGACAGTGCAGAGGGTTACAGGGAGCCTCCGTCACCACCAGGGGGTGCTCCACGCTACCCTGGACACACAAGAACAGCATGGTAAGTAGAGCTGGATATCTTTAAGAAGCTGCAAAACTGTATCACTGTGACAAAATAATTTAGTAAAATATACTAAAAAATACTCTAGGTAATATATCATCACAGCAGCCCACAATATCGATACTGTATCATCACATTAAACAATACCATATATCGATATTTCAGTATTTTTGCACACCCCTAATGGTAACGAAGACGGATTATGCTTTTTATCTGGTATTATTGTATTATTGTACTAAACTATTAATTTTTTTTTTTATTTGTTTGTTTACTGCATTATTGATTGATCTGAACCAACTTAAAGGTGCACTGGGTATCTTGGTATCTTTCCTGGTAGAGGGTGTCCCACCAGCTTCTCTCATCGTGAAAATGTTGCCTGCAATGTTCCATAGTGTGGCATTACACTTATTTATCTCTACAGACAGAGACAGCAGGTGATGCTGTTAGGTGACGGGACAAAAGTTTAGATCTGTGAAGAGGCAAGCCCACTCACGTTAACAATGGAAGTTTTTAAGTCAGTAAAACCCATGTTATGAGTGAATGCAAGATTTATAGACATAACGGGACATTACAGACAAAGCAACAACATCTCCATGATTTTCAACAAAAATCTGAGAGTGACGAACTGAAAACTGTTTCTGGTCAGACTGTGTTAACATAAAGCTCACATTAAAGTCTAACAAGCTTCAAACAGAGCAGTGCCCACAATTAGAATCACACTTCCAGTAGAGGTGTGCAAAAATAGTGAAATATCGATATATTGTATTGTTTAATGTGATAATACAGTATCGATATCGCGGGCTGCTCTACTGATATATCACCAAGAATATTTTTTGGTATATTACTCAGTTATTTTGTTACAGACTTACAGTTTTGATGCTTGTTTAGAGAAAGAAAACTCATGTAACACATTTGACATTTTCACTGTTTTGATGATTAAAATGTTTGTGTTTTATATGAACTTTGCACAAGAAGTGGTTTAACAAAGACTTTTAGTATTACAGCCATGATTTAGCCTTTATTTTTCATAGAACCGTATCAAATCATTAAGTGCTTGAATCATCATTTAAATATATCGTATTGAACTGTATTGAATCGAAAGCTCACTTTATCGAGATATTTATTGTATCATGGCCTATGGATCGAGCTATGTATCGTATTGTGGCTTATGTATCGAGGTATGTATCATATCGTGGCTTATATATCGAGATATGTATCGTATCGTGACCTATGTATCGAGATATGTATCGTATTGTGGCTTATGTATCGAGGCATGTATCGTACCATGGCTTATGCATCAAGGTATGTATCAAATCGTGGCTTATGTATCAAGGTATGTATCGTATCGTAGCCTATGCATCGAGATATGCATCATATCGCAGCCTATTGAGGTATGTATCCTATTGTGGTTTATGTGTCAAGATATATATCGTATCGCGGTCTATGTATTGAGGTATGTATCGTATCGGCAACTTCTGAACGATACCCAGCCCTAATTTCCAGGGAATTTTGATGAAACCCACTGCAAATTATCAATAAGTAAATATTTATGCCCTATGACCCAAGAAAATCCGTGAAGGCATTTTATTTTATTATAATTATTTTTATTCGCCCCTTGTCCCCGGAGCCGGACTGACCTCGGAGCCGATGCCCAGGTGACTGAACACATAGTCGAAGATGAGCTCCTGGATCTCGAAGTTCACCACCACGTTCCGGTCGAACTGACTCTTGAGCAGCCAGCGCAGAGGCTCCAGGCTCGGGATGTCGTTGCCGATCTGCGTGTCGCTGCGGGCGGCTCCTCTGCTCCGCGCCGCCACGGACCTGAACGAGAGCCGCGGAGAATCGAGTCCCGGAGAGTCGAGTCCCGGCGCGGACACTGCCCAGCCGGCCCGCGTCTGGAACGAACCGTTATCTATGACGATGGGCACCGGGGCCGGGCTCAGGCAGCAGGCCGGGAGCTCATAGACCGGGTCCGGGGACGTTTTGGGGTCGTTAAATGTGAATATCTGACACACAGGCGGCTTCTCGTGCTCAGGGGCCGCCATTTTGGGAGGGTGTTTCTTCAAAATACAACCGATGGGAAATTATACAAAGCTAAATTATAGTTCCGAGTTCGCTGTAGGCAAGTTATTATTATTACATTAAAGGTAACATTTCACACTTTGAAAATAGGCCTATAAAACATTTAACCTGTTTATCATGTTTAATAAATATGTCTAAATATGAATAACCAGCATTTTGTATGAGTTATAGCGTAATAGCCTATGCTAATACAGGTTTCAATCCAATTCAGTCCAGTATATTTCGTTTGCACATTTCACAAACAGTTTCCAAAATGCTGCACAAATACATAATAATAATAACAACAATAATAAAATGATAAAATAAACTACTAAAACAATCATACTAGTCTTAAAATAATAAAACCAGTAAAATAAAATAAGAGCAAATTCATAGAATAGCAATAAATAAATAAAACCAATAAAATACAATACAGAGACACAGAGGACCACACAACTCATGCAGTGTTAAAACCCAGAGAATAAAAGTGGGTCTTAAGACTTAAAACTCTCCACTGTGGGGGCTGCTCAAACGGGAAGGGGCAGAGCGTTCCACAGAGAAGGCCCTGTCCCGCCTGATTTTAAGTCTTGTCTTAGGTTTACTTTATTATTTACAAACCCCACACTTTGTCCAGTTTTTGACAGAAAAGTATACAGTTTATTGTGTCATTGCCTCTGAAATGAAAACATAGAACAAATAAGCAATTTGAGTTGGAAAAAAATTGTGGAATCAATTTATAGACCAAAATGTAAACTTTTGATTGATGAAAGTGTCCACCTTTGGCAGATATAACACACTCATGGCTCATTCTTTTTACAACAGAAATCAAATATTCATCAGAAAGCTCTTCCCAAGTCTGTTGAAGTAGTTTCCATAAATGTGTGACACTTGTAGGTTGCTTCACTCTTCTGTCCAGTTCATCCCAAACCAGCTCGATGGGGTTTAAGTCTGGACACTGTGCTGCTGGATACTCCAGGTTTTCAAGCTTTACCATTCTGTTCCTTTTTTTCTAAGGTAGTTTTGGCAGAGCTTGGACTTGTGTTTTGGGTCATTTTCGTTTTTTTAACCTCTGTCTGTTCTTTGTACCATTTCAAGCTCTTCATCGGACTTGCACGACTTGAATTTCAGTTAAATAACTGGAAAAATCAGGGTGTTCTAAAACTTTTGAGCAGTAGTGTATGTCTAAAATCTTACAAGGTCTATATTGTAGGCTTTGATTCTGTCATCAGTTCTTAAGTTCCTTTTCTTGTAACATGCATAAAATTCCACCAGATGGCACTGTATCTACTTTTTTCTGCTCTGGTCAACTATTACTGCAGTAAGTTATTCAAAACCATTTTTCTCAGCCTCCAAGCTGCAGCTGCAGGTTCACATACAGGCAGAAATCAGTTCCCAGAGCATGATGGACTGTGGCAGAGCCAGTGCTTCATAAAAAGATGAAGAACAAATGTTTCCATTCCTCTGGTCCTTCTGCACGGTCTGGTGGAGTTGTAGCCTTGGAGGAGTCAAAGGCAAAGTTCTCCATCCTCTGCTCATTACTCTCTGTGCAGTCTGGAGCTCTCAGGGTGGGGAGTCCACAATGAGAGGAGGGAGCTGAGGTGACTCTGGCTCAGACGCCCCTGGTCTCCCACATGAGACAAACATCTACACCAGTGTTTCCCAATTTTATTTTCTGGGGCCCTGGGGCAGTCCGGGTGCAGGAGGAGAGAGCAGCACCAGATAAGGAGCAGCATTCAATCTGTTTCTGAGCTTTGTCTTCATTTTTGTGAGCACAGAAAATCCCTATTCACACAAATATGTAGTCGTGAAGGGAATAAGCAGAGAAACACTGGACTTACTGAGAACAGGATGTCCTGACCAAATGCTGATCTAGAATGACAATAAGGTCACAGATGCTTAGCTGTGTAGATCATTGTTTCCCAAAGACTGGGTCGCGGCCCTCAGGTGGGTTGCAAGAGATTTTTTTAGGTCTCATTGTCACGATCTGTATGTAGCTCTCATCTGTGAGTCCAGCCCTCTGCATGAGACAGAGATTTCAGAGTCCTCAGTCCTGTCTCACGGTGTCCCTGTCCTCTTGTGTGTGTGTGTGTGTGTGTGTGTGTGTGTGTGTGCGTGCGTGCGTGCGTGTGTGTGTGTGTGTGTGTGTGTGTGGGTGGGTGGGTGTGTGTGTGCCTGTGTGTGTGAGGAGCTGATGTTGTGTGTGTCTGGGGCGGGGGCGGAGGGTCATGTGAGTCAGGATGGTGTGTCATGGCCCTCACAGTTCACTGCTCTGGCACAAAGTCCCCCCACCCTCCTCTTCCTCCTCCTCTTCCCCTCCTCCTCCTCCTCATGATGATGGTAATAAGCAGATCTGGGTCAGCGCTGCCCCTTCACACACACACACACACACACACACACACACACACACACACACACACACAGTCATGTATCTTGTTGTTCTTTGCTCCTGAGGGTAAGACGTGACATTGTGCCATCTCCACTGTCTCCACTGTCCATAATATAACCCACAGCTCCTCCTACACTCACTCTCTCTCTCTTCCCTCATCTCTCCCTCTCTCTGTCTCTCTCCATCTCCTCTCTCCCACATATCCCTCTATATATTTCCCTCTGTCTCTGTTTCTCTCTTTCCCTCTCTATTCTTTTCTTGCTTTCACTCTGTCTTTCTCTCTACCTCTACCTCTCTCGCTCCCCATCTCTCTTTCGTGCTCTCTTTGTCTCTCTCACACTTTTGCTGTTTCTCTCTTCTCTCTCTCCTACATGTCCCACTCTCTCTCTCCTTTCTCATCACTCTTTCACTTCACTTTCCCTCTCTTTCTCTCTCACTCTCCATCTCTCTTTCTCTCCTCTCTCTCCCACGTCTGCCTCTCTCTTTTCTGTACACTCTTTATCTTCATTTTTCTCTCTCCTTCTCTCTCTCTGTGTCCCTCCTACTCTTTTCTCCACTGTCTTTCACTCTCTCTTTCTCTCACTCCCCATCTCTTTTTCTTGCTCTCTTTCTCTCGCCTCTCTCTCATATGTCCCTCTTTTTCTTTTCTCTTTCTCTCTCACTCCCACAGGGGTCCCTCTCTCTCTTTTCTCACTTTTCTCTCTCTCTCTTCTCTCTTCCGCTTCACTTCTCTCTCTCTCTCTTTGTCTCTCTGTTTCCCTCTCTCTCTTTTCTCTTGTCTTTTTCACTCTCTCTTGCTCCCATCTCTCTTTCTGGCTCTTTCTCTCTCTCCATCTCTTTTTTTCTACTCTCTCTCCTAAATGCCCCCCTCTTTTTTCTCTTCACTCTTTTCTCTACTCTCTTTCACTCTCTTTGTCACTCTTTCTCTCCTCTCTCTACTACATGAGAGTCAATATTGTGGATAATTTCGGGCCTTTAAACACAAAAACACAAATAAAATCTAATAAATTCATACAAAACACCAAAACATGAGCCTGTTCTTTTTCACGTTTTACTCTCTCTCTGTCCCTCCTACGCTTTTCTCTCTGTTTCTCTCTCTCCCACATTTCCCCCTCTCTTTTTTCTCTTTTCTCTTCACTTTTCACTCTCTTTCTCCCACATGTCCCCCTCTCTTTTTCTCTTCACTCTTTCTCTTCACTTTCACTCGTTCTCTCTGTCTCTTTCTTTCTCCCACATGTCCCCTCTCTTTTCTCTCTTCAGTCTATTCTCTACTCTCTTTCAATCTGTATTTCTCTCACTCCTCATGTCTCTTTCTCATATCCCTCTCTCTCTTTTCTCTTCCTTCTTACAATTTGCTTCACTCTCTATGTGTCTCTGTTTCCCTCTCTCCCTCCCTCTTTTTTCTCTTCTCTGTCGATCCCACTCTTTTCTCTCTATCTTTCTCTCTCTCTCTCCCACATGTCCCTCTCTCTTTTCTCTTCACTTTCTCTTCACTTTTTATTCTCTTTGTTCCTCCCACTCTTTTCTCTCTCTCCCACATGTCCCCCTCTCTTTTTCTCTTCACTCTTTCTCTTCACTTTCACTCTCTTTCTCTCTGTCCCTTCCACTCTTCTCTCTCTCTCTCTCTCCCACATGCCCCCTCCTCTTTTTTCTCTTCACTCTTTCCTCTTTACTTTTCACCCCCCCCCACCCCCACACACACACACACACTCATTTCTCTGTCTCTCTCTTTTCTCTCCACTTTCTCTTGACTTTTCACTCACTCGCTCTCTCTCTCTCTCTCTCTCTCTCTCTCTGTTCCCACTCTTTTCTCTACGCTCTCTTTTCTCTTCTCTCTTTCACTCTCTCTTTCTCTCCCACATGAGAGTAAATACTGTGTATAATTTTTGGGCCTTTAAACACAAAAACACTCATAAAATCTAATAAATTCATAGAAAACACCCAAACATGAGCCTGTTCTTTTGTGCGTGTGTTTGCTGGTCATGTTGGTGTTTGTTTTGGTTTCTTTTCCTCTTTCGTCTCGGGGCGTGTGGGGGTCTGTGGGGGTCTGTGGGCGGTGTTTTGGGGGGGGTCGGACGCCGCCGTGGCTCCGGTCTGAACCTCGGGGCGTCTTGTCTCAGTTAGTTACAGTGAGTGGATTTGATTTCCGTGTCCTACATTTGGAGCGTCGAGGATTCACACACAGAGCGCTCGCGTAACCGGACATCAGCCACAGATCTCACACACACACACGACTCCATTTTAGACGCAGAGCAGCTCGTCCGGGGCTCAGTGTGTCACCGCAGAGATGGGGTCTAGAGTTAACACGCAGACAAAATGGCTCCTGATAAAATGATCTGTGAGGGCTTAGATTTGGTTTAGTCCAAGTAAAGATTCATCACTTCTAATCCACTTTATTTCTATAGCACATTTCATAAACAAAAGAATTTCCAAAGTGCTGCACAATATAAATAAAACACATCCAAAATAATCTGTCCATATGAAATCAGCCGTCCTCCTTTGAGCCATCCAGATTTTGCTGAAAAAAAATGTCTAAAAATGTCTAAAAGAATCTAAAATTTTTGTTATGAGAGACAAAGGCCATACCCACTTTTTCGGAAACCTTAATTTCAAAAAACCGGAACAAAGAGAATGTTTGGTGAATTTTATCAAAGGGAAAGACGTTATTGTCCTTCTTCCTACGGGATTTGGGAAAAGCTTAATATACCAGTTAGCCCTGTTAGTGGTGCATTACATACGACCAAATAGCAGCGAATGATTAAATAAAAAAGTACCCACCTACTGTCGAGTGAATGAATCCTAATGCTGTGAGGTCAGACGGTTTCCACCAAGTGAAACTGGCTGATGAGTCAGGCTAGTGCTGTGGGTCCCCCAAAATCTCAAATTTGGTTAGTTCTGGTTTAGACCTGGTTTAGTCCAGATTTAGACCTGGTTTAAACCTGCTTTAGACCTGGTTTAGTTCTGGTTTAGACCTGGTTTAGTCCAGATTTAGACCAAGTTTAGACCTGGTTTAGTTCTGGTGTAGTTCTGGTTTAGTTCTGGTTTAG